CTACCAACCAGACCAATGCCTCCATGTATGCGCTCTATCCTATTTCTTCTTGCCTTCTTCTAGACTCCGATAAGACAGTTCTCCTCTCTGTCCTCGGCACCACCAATTTTTCCTTCTCTAGTGCATGATTGCCCAACAGAATGCAAACATGTCTTCGTGTCTATTACCTATTTTCCTGTTCTCCGTTGCAACAAAGATTGAAGCGATAGTTATGTTCACTTGTGCTGCCTCAGATTTCTCTCATCTCATTATGTTTTAATCTCACTCCGAGAATATTTTGTTCACTTTACCCAATAGTTCATGACAAGGTCCCCAGTGACTGCCACACTGACAAACCAAACAGCCAATTCTCAGACTTTACCCAGTCTGAACTATTTCATAGCATTTGATGCTGTCTTTGATTACCAATTGTTCACTCTCACTTTCCTAAAATACTTTCTCCAATTGCCCTCCTGGACCACTCTCTCTTGGTTCTCCTCCTGCTTGGCTGGCTGCTCCAAGGATCTCCTTTCCTGATTTCCTCTCAACCCTTAGACCTTTAAACATTGCCACAGTTTGATCCTCAGACAAATTCTCTGCTTCATTGAGTACCTCACTGATTTCATTCAGTCTCATAGTTTTACAAATGGTCTCCTTGTTAATGATTCTCAAATTCCCCAGGCTGGAGAGCCCCACCCTGAACTCCAGACTCATATATCCAACACTTATCTGACATTTCCACTTAGATTTCTAACAGATGTCTCAAACTCAGTCTACCCAATACCAAACTCCTCATTTTTCTCCATAATCCTACCCAACCAGTCTTCCTCATCTCTGTAAATGTCAAGCTCAGTTTTCCAATTTCTCCAGCCAAAACTTTGACTTCTCTTACTCTCACAACCCTACCTAATCCATTAGAAAAAATAATGATACACCCAAAATCTAATCACTTCTCACGACTTCCACCACTCACATCGTTAGCTCTTATCTGGATGATTGGAACAGCCTCCTGACCTTATTATGTGTTGTTGTGGGTACTGCTCGTGGTTCACCACACTCCATCATCCTTTCCTTTCTTTACATGTGTGTTGACACATTTCCCACTTCTACTTATAGTTTTCTGTGGACATGTGACTAAATTTTGGACAAAGGAATGCAAGAAGGGATGTGTGCTATTTCCAAGGTAGACTTAGAGACCATGGGCATTCTTCCTGCATTGTCTTTTCACTTCCCAGGAGCCAGAATTGGAAGGCCACTGTGAGCCATGTAAACAAGAAGAAAGGGGAGTCTAGATGTGTGAATAATCATGTAAAGCAGAGCTGTGTGACAATCTGAAACACACAGCTCAGGCTGTTAGGTAAGAGAAGAACAAACTTCCATCTTCTTTAATCCACTGAATTATAGAAGCTGAGGCTTATGCTATTTAGCATGGGAAGCTCAGGTGGAGAACCTAAAACATACAAGCTTTTCAAGAAAGGGTTTGAGATGTTTCAATTCTGTATCCTCTCCCCCTAAAAATGAGTAGTTCCAAAACATGGAAAACAAACCGTAAAGTCGGCATTAATAAACATCTACATGAATAAAGAAGAGTTAACATTAGGTCAGCACACCAGCTGCAATTCAAATCATACATTATATACAAATATAATAAAGTTCAAATCATAAAAACAAAATGCACGATTCATTTCCAGCAAAATTCAAGACTCTTTCCAAAAAGTTTATACCAAATAATTATATATACCTGTGGGTACATTTTATTATTTGATATGATGTGTGGTAGGGCCTCAGAGTAAAAGTGCTTAGGTTCTGGGGTGGCCTTAAATGCTACCTGTCTTAGCTATTTACTAGCTGAGTTACCTTGATCAAGTCCTTTAAACTCTGAGACTCAGTTTCCATCTCCTGCAAAATGGGAAAAGAGCAGGAAAATAATACTTATTTCACAGGGTTGCAAAGGTAATCAACAAGTACATTGTTTTTGAAAATACTTGGCATACATTATGGAAATGCATGGAATGAATACTTTTACATTATAGGTTTCATAGAATCTCAGTGTTTGAAGTGCGTCTAGAAGTCAGTTAAGCCTATGATGCTCAAGCCTACAAAATTATCTGGAAAGCCTTTTAAAAAAAATGTTTATTTATTTATTTCAAGAGAGAGACAGAGACAGAGAGAGTGTGGGTGTGCACACAAATGGGGGAGGGTCAGAGAGAGAGAGAGAGAGAATCCCAAGCCAGTTCCGTGCTGTCAGCTCAAAGCCCAATGTGGAGCTCGATTTCATGAACCATGAGATCATGACCTGAGCCTAGACCAAGAGTTGGATGTTCTACTGCTCAACCGACTAAGCCACCCAGGTGCCCCATCTGGAAAGGTTTTTAAAACACACATGGCAAGACCCATCTCTTCAAAGAAGTGAATTAAGTAGGCCTTGAGATTCTGCATTTTAAGTTTCCTATTCACAAGAAACTCGTATTATTGGTTAAGCACTAAGTGGCTGGATGACAGAGTAGAAAGGAGAATTTTCACATTTTTTTTAATTTTAAAAATTCAGAATCACACAAATGTATAATTCTATTCAAAAATAACCAGATTAAAATTGTTTGATACAATAACCAATAGATAAATGCATGTTCTTGGAAAAGTCCTAATAAGGCTAGCCTTGAACAGGAGTTCAGGGTATAGGTCAATTTTCTCAACCATCCCTTCACGCAGATTTAGCCAGATTCTACTTGAACATTTCCAATGTCTCCACTCACACTACCTTACAAAGCAGCCCATCCAGTTGTCAGACAGCTATAATTGTTAGAATATTGTTTTTGCAGGTCTGTGTCACAGTGAGGGATGCTATAAACATCATCATGGAGGTGGGAGCATGATCTGACTCACAGCATAACTGAATTCATCGGTGATAGTGAGGTACTTGATGACAGGGTTTACTGGATACAATTCTGGTGAGTCTCTGTCTGTCACCAAGACAGAAAACTGACATTGATTTTATCTTCAGATTTTTGCTTGACCTACTGATGCGATTGTGGCTCTGGTTATCAGGGAGCTCTCAAAGTGGGATATGAGTCCTTGTTTAATCAGTGCTGTGTCTGTCTTGTCCCTGATTCTTATTATCTAATGCAAATGGGCTTCCTTATTACCTAACATAGTAGCATCAAGCAGAGAAAACCATGCAAACTGAAGCTACAGAATTCAAGCAACTGAACATCGTCATGTCCTAGGGACAATGTAAGATTTCTTGGTAAATAAATGTGCCAATTCCCCAATCCAAATGCACTACAATAGCCAAAAGAGAGAAGAAATCACTCTGAAAGAAAGGAGTGGGAATTTTTTAATTTTGCACTTGGTTTCATGATTTTGGAAGAGAACACAGCTTTTTCATTCCAAGAGTATACCAATTGCCCCTGCTTTATCCCCACCTCCACTACCAAATTCCTATTATTTATTCTCATTTGAATGGTCTGAAAATGTCAAGTAACAGAAAGGTTGTTATCAATACTGCATCAGCCCCCGATGGATTAGAGGGAGAATGATGTTTGTGGCTCTCTGTAATCCCTCCATGGATTCTGGGATTCTGAGCTTCTCTAGGGAATGCAGCAAAGCCACAGGAAGTCCCCAAAGGCAAGATGTTGCAGGCTGTTCTCTGGTTCAGCTGCCAAATACAGAAAAAGTAATGTAGGGCAAGAAAATGAGAGGAAACTCTTCCTTGTCTGTAACTCAGAGGCAGATGAGAGCATGGGTTATGTTATTCCTCCTGAGAGCCACCATAACTCGTCAGTCTCTAAGAAATAAAACTTCCACGCATGTCTTCTGTTTCCAAAATGAGCTCCAAAGTCACCTGCTTCAAGTAGCCTTATATGGAATTAGAGATGTGTACTGATGTTGCCTCCAGCCCAGTTCTGTTTCCAAGTCCAAAAATAGATTTGAGGGAGACTTTGAACAAAATCTTTATACTCTCTGTGCTTGAGTTCCTTTAAATTGAATGGCATTTGCCATTCACTTTCATATAGAAGTGAGAGGAAACAGCTGCCGTGGGATTCGTTAAAAGAGAGAGAGAGATTTTGAAGTATATTGTAAAGAGAGAACAATGAGACATAAAGTAGCCATTCTTTACTCTTTTAAACAGTAATTTATATTTATTGAAATTCATGTACACTCATAAGCTATGGGAAGATGGAGCATAGGTGAGTATTTTGATAGAAACGTAGAATAAAATAACAGAATAACAGTAACTGAAAAACTGGGATTTCCTATACACACAAACGCACGCAAATTAGGATCACAAGCACTGTTATGGGCAGTTCTAACGACATTTTCTTTATTCTGCTTTGAAACGTGTTTGTGGGCACTGTATAGGACTGTTTTAAATTCTCAATATTATGCTTTATTTCATTAAAATGAATTTGCTCTAAACAAAATAAAAATGTTCAGCCTTACCTGTCACAAACGTGGAGTATTTAATTTAAAAAAGTACTTAAGGATGCCCAAAATGTTTTATGTAAAATATTCATTACACTACAGGAGAATGGGATAAAGAAATGAGGACATTATACATGGTTTTCCTAGAACATCCAGGCCCTAAAATGACCACAACTGACATTAACAGTGACGGTATGTAAAAATCAAGAATAAGATATTACTACTTTAATAACAACAAAAACAGAGTTGAAATCAATGTTTTTATACCATAACTGTGTTTAGAAATATTTTTAGACTATGCAATCATAGGTGCATCAATATTGTAGAATGTTTGGTGTATGTATATATATATATATATATATATTTTTTTTTTTTTTTTTTTTGAAAAACACATTTAGCGATGTGTATGCCTCGTGGCAGTGTTTGCTTCATTTTGGAGGAAAAAAATTCTATTATTTGTATTACATACAGAAACTAGGGAAAGCTAGCATTAGTTTCCTCCTTATTTTAGTTTTCTAACTTTGCATTGTTTCAACATATCTGCTTTGTATTAAATATTGAAACAGGAAAAGAGAGAAATCCCCACTTCAAATACACAGAAGAGCTAAATAGGATTTTAATTTTTTCAAATATGATTTCTACTTTTGCACACTTCGTGTACATGCCCCACAGGAGGAAAGACAGAAGAGGTAAAAGTGAAGCACGGTGGAATTTGATTTTGCCACAACCCCAGCAAATGCCTGTTAGATTGATATTCCTTCCCTGCAAACATCTGGAAAGCAGTGGCAACAGAAAGAAGTCCTAAAAACTTGGCCGATCACTAAGGAATACTTCCTTACACGAATAGGGAGCTATGTGGTCGCCACTAGTTCTATGGGTTTCCTCAACAAGACGAAGTCTGCACGTTCAAGTTTTGAAACTATGAACTACAGTATTCCACAGATGATCGCTCCTGGTGTTTAAAAGGCCCCTGCAGAGGTCTAGTCAAAATATTTACATTCCTCTCTCTAACTGTACCGCCAAGGAAAAGAGAAACATAGTGAGAGGACGAATCAAAAAGAAAACTTTCCTTTCCAGGGAGCGGAAAAAAAGGTGTCAGGCCGCGGGGTCTTCTCCATCCACAGTCCTGTTCTCTTCGTTTAGATCAGGCGTGGATAACACACCTTTCCGGTGAACGTTCCTCTATGGCAGGTGCTTTAGCACGATTTTGTGCCAAAATTAGGGTTGTATCAATTGCTGAGAGCCTGTGGGCAAAAGAAAGCCGTGAGTGGGCGTGTTTAATTGTCAAGCGTGTTCCCCGGGGCGCTGCACCCGCGCTGTAAATACACAAGTGAGTGATGGGCACGTATATGTTTTTCATTAAGTGCAGCCACTGGCCCAAAGTGAGTCAGGTTCTGGCGTGGAAGCGTGTTCGAAGCTGGGAGGCGGCAGGGACGGGATGGGGGTGGAGGAAGGAGCAGGCGGGGATGATGATTAGCGAAGGAAATGACCCAACTCCCTCCCTTCTGTTTTCACAATCTGCGTCACGCTTCTGTACGCGCCACGCCAGCGGCGGGCGAGCGGGCGGCCGCGCGGGCCAGGTCACTTCGGGCACTCGTCTGGCGGTCGCCTTCCCCACCCAGGTCCTCCAGCTCCGACGCTGCCTGCAAAAGGTCCACTCCTCACACACACCCCCTCCCCCAGGGAAGGCCGAAGCAGGGACTTGGCCTGGCTCCTCGGGGTCAACCCTGGGACAGGGAACCTCTCCCTTCCCGGCGCCCCCCGACGTGGGTGCGGAGCTGGGAGTCCAGAAACCGGACCTGAAGCTGCCACCGAGCCCGGCCTGGACTCAAGCGATGAGGGAACTGCGGCCAGCGAGGAGGAGGAGGCGGCCCGGGGCGCGGAGACACCTCCGCCCGCCCGGCCACAGCCGCGCAACTCGTGCGGCCCGCGTTCTCGACAGAAAAGCACCTTCTGACCATTAGGAGTAATTCTCCATCATTCCTGTTAGAACAAGTTAATGTAAGGGTTGGGCTGGGAGGCCCCGGGCAGGGTCACGTGCGCCCCCGTCACTCCGGCTCCCCTCGCCTCTCCGGTTCGAGTTATGCCATCAAGCTAATATATTGTGACTGCTCTTCTCTCCTGTGACAAAGGCTTGCAGCTGCCTCCAAATCAATAGACGTCAAAGAAATATGAAAACAATCATGACACAAAACTTAAATCCTGGCTGGAGCCTACATAATCAGAACTGTGCTTCTGTTCTCCAAGCCGCCGATTAATTTATCCCAAAGTTTAGTCAAATTTTTATTCCGGTACCTTTTTCCCAGCAGATCCTGCTACATCTGTCGGGTTTGTAATGTAATTTGTAATTACTGCCCTTCATGTGGTCCGGTGCCTTGAACCATCTTTAATTAAAAGCATAATTAAGGGAAGATCTAAAGAAAGACAATTACCAGATGGTCTTTTTTTTTTTTTTTTTTTTTTTTTTTTTTTAGAGGCGGTAGTTTCCTGGAGAGGGGCGTAGGGTCTGTCCCCGGCACCCGGTGCCTGGGTAGGGGGCGGCGGGGCCGAGCGGCGCTTGCGCACTGCGTTAAGCCTAGGCCCCGTGCCCTTCCCCGCCCCCCACCCCCGGGCACCAAGCCCAGAGGCCGCGCCCCAAGGTGAGCGCCAGCGTCTCAGCGGTGCCCAAACCCCTGGTTCTCATCGCTCTTTCCCTGGGTTTTCGGGGTGTAGGGCGGTAGCGGGGAGGCTGGGACAAGTTCAAGTTCGAAGCTACTTCCAAATCCGCGAGGGCGCTCCCGGAACCGGCCCCGCCCTCCCTTGCGCGCCAACCTGGGAGCTCAGAAGCCGAAGGACGCGAGGGCTCGAAAGGAAGGGGAAAGGAAGAGAGATGGTCAGCTGTCCCCGAGAGGGCAACCTGGCGAGGGTGCCCCAGCCTAGGCCCTCCCTAGAGCCGGGCCGCCTAGGGTGGGAGCTGCGGGTCTGAGAACCCTCGGGACAACAAGACAGCAGCGCAGCGCCCGTCGCCCGCAGCCCCGTCGGGCAAAGTGGCCCTTTGACAGCGATTGTCTCGGCTGTCGGCTCCTCCGTGTCCACTGGTCCCTGGAATTCTCAGAACAAGTTTCGAGGAGGAGGGAACAAACCCATTCCCCACCCCTATCCCACCCCCACATCCCCGAAATGAATAATGTAGTCAGGAGCCAAGGTTTCTGCATTAGCGCCGCGTTGCCCCGGCGGCTGGCTCGAGGATTCCGAAGTCGGATAATGGAAATTAAACTGTTGTTGTATGGCGGGATGTCATTATGTGACTGTTCATATTCAAAGTCAGGCAGCAATGAATTGTAATCATTTCAATTATCTTCAATACACTTTCTTTAGGACACAAGTTGTCAAAGATAAAAAAAAAAAAATACATTCTTGCGGCTCCGTGGGTCCATTTTCCAGACGGTTTGTTGTTCTTGCTGCCTGATTTGGTTTCGGCTTTTATTCCCCAGCCTCAGAGTCTCTTACAGAGACTCCGACGGAGTGAGCGAGCCCCGGCGGTCCTCGCCGCTTCTCTGGCGCTGCGTGCCTGCTACCAGAGTCCGGAATTGGCCTCCGTGCGCCTGGCGCGCGTATTTTGGTTGCTTTCAGGTTTAATTAACTTTGAACAACAAATATGCCTGGAGATGTAGATCTGGTGTCGCCTTGGGGAAGGGGGCCGTCGTATTATATTCTGCATCCTCCCCAGCCTTAGAGGGTGGGCTGGCTACAGCAGCCTGCGTCCCCGGAGGCCAGCGCCATGCGTCAGAAAGGCACGTGCTGGACGGTGCCCGCGCCTCCGAGATCCCTCAGAGAGCCCGGGTCCATCTTCTTCCAGCCGGGAGAAGGCAGGGAAGAGCCTGGACCAGTGGAGCCTGCTTTCCTTTGTCGAAACGACCCTCAGACCCGTGCTCGCTCCCTGTTGTCCCTGAACGTGAGGCAGTGGCGATTTGGTTGTGATGTCCTCGCGGCATGGCAAAAGAGCCCTCCGCCCCCAGCCCAGGCAGAGGGAGTAGGGGTCGCCTTTGAAGCCCACGTCCATCGCGCCTATTAGGACTAATCCCGATCTTTACACTAATATCGCTTCTCGGGTTTTTATTATAATCATTTGGGAGGAAATGAGCTCTTGCCAGGCAAATAGCACCCCGCACCCCACTTTTCATAGCTGCGCAGGGCCGAGGCCTGAACAACCCTGCGGGCAATCCCCGAGCTGCCGATATTATATTTGTGAAATGTCCTTTTGTTGAAGCTTTTAACACCTTCTTATAACGAATCATTTGTTCTTTTCTCTTTAATTTTGATAGACAATTAGCCATCAGAGATACACCAGTTGACTGTAACCGAGCATTAAACTCGCCTTTATGTAACGCTAATTTAGCATAGCTGCTTTGTTTAACTTTGCTATATAAGAACCAGGTTTTGTAGCAAAAAAAAAAAAAAAAAAAAAATAGGTGTAATTTTATGTGGGGCTTCATTTCTTTTGGCCCTGTACGCAGCAAGCCCTCTCCTCTTTGTGAAGCATTCTGCTGGGGCCTGACGCCATTTCCCGTGCCTAGCACCTGCAGGCTGGGGTGGGGAGGGGGGTGGGGGAATTAGCATTGATATAGATTTAGTTGAAATGTAATCTCTTAAATCTGTCCAAGATTCGGGGAGATAATTACACTTTCACTGAATTGCCAGGGGTCAGCGTCTCAGAGGACCTGAGGAGTTGATTTACTAACAATAGTGTTACATAAAAAATGGCGTTTGAGATTATAATGTTAATGGCTGCGGTCGCTGGGGAATGTGGCCGCTTCCAACTAATTCCACGTAACTTGTTTTTTGCCTCCCTTTTCCTCCCTCCCCTTCTTGTCCAGCTCCGTCTTCTGAAAGATTGAGAGCTTCTCGGTGTTTAATTTGGTGGCAGGCTCCGGGAGGTTAGGACGCTGGAGCTTGGGGTTGACGCGCTTTTTCTCAGAGAAATTTCGGTGACAGGTTGTGGCTTCGACATCAGGATTGGGCTCTTCCCCCACGAGAAGCAAGACTAGGGCGCAGACTTCGCACGCCCCACGCGCGGAGACTCGGGCTGGAGCGGAGCCCAGGCAGCAAAGGCTGACCACGGCTTCGGGAAGAAGCGCCGCGCCCTCCCAGGCCGGCCTCCCCGGCCCGCCTGAAACTGGACCTGCCCCACTTCTAACCACCTCAAGTCGCTGGGCTGGACGAGAACGAGGCCCTGCTCTGAACCCTACTCTCCTGCACAGGCCGCACTTCCAGCCCAGCAGCCCCAGACCTGTGGACACTCACTTCCCGCCGCCAACTTTCCCAAGTTCCAAGTGGAGTTTGGCAGGAGGCCTGGACGAGCGTGCAGAGAGGGCCCCCGGAATACCAAGAGACACCTCAAACCCCAGATTCTAGCTTGCGGGTGGGGATAAGCTTTGAAACTAAGAGATCAGCCTCCTTTGGGGTGGAGACGGTGAAGGAGTTTACACTCCCGCATACACTTGTCGAACCCTGGTGGAACTTGACCCACATCGGTCTCCACCCACAGAGACTAGATTCCCTGAGAAAGCCCACGACCACTCTTAACTTGAAACCCCATCGGGAGTTCAGGCACTTCAGCCGCCCTGGAAACTGCTGGCCGGCCCTTCCCCACCCATGGGCCAACCAGGAGCCCCTGAAACTGTGCACAAAAGTCAAGGGATGAAGGGGGGGGGGGGGAAAGCAGCTCCTCTTCCTGGGTAGGACGAAAGGAGCTGGTTTTCTGACCTCCTGCAGGGCAGCTCTGGGCCAGGCAATCAGAGGAGGTGTCCAGATCCTGGGAGCGTCCTCAGGCCACACCAGGGTTCACCCGCTTGGGCCTGGACCTAGGACGTGGCCATTGCTGATACCCTGGGTCCAGGAGCTCAGATTTTTTCCTGAAGGCGGGACTTTGGAGTGTGAAAGGGGGGCGCCTCTGCCCTGTACCTCTTACTCCCTTCGCGGTAACATGGGTAGGCTGAGAGCTCCAGGCTCGTCCTGCCAGACTTGGGCGCAGGCCTTGCCTAGGCTCTCCTTTGGGCTGGGAATTCTGCTTCTGTGAAGAAAGAGGCTGGAGCCACCACTTGTGGTTCCGAGGAAAACAAGGAGCTGCCCCTTGGCCTAACGCGTCCTCACCCATCTTACCTAGTCCCGTGGCGCCCGCTGACTGGCCAGGCACCAGTGGCCCACGGGGCGCTCTGGATCTCACCCGACAACTCGGACGGAGAGGCCTGGGCACCTAAGCCCT